TAGGTACGTCTATTAATTTGATCAATAAGTATGCAAATCTAACATATAAACTCTCCGACATGTCGGCTGACTGTTATGAACTTTTAAAATGCATCTAGCAATTAACATGAGATTATTATTAACGTATATATTTTTTTATAACTAAAACTAAAGCGAAAACAATGCGTAAGTAATATCAAAAGAATTATCTAATACTTTCTATTATTATTTTTTTTTTGGTTTGACTATCCAGTCTTATCTATGCACATTTATCATCAACAATGCTAGAAATAAAACCTTTTTAGTGTTTGAGAATTTCAAGATTACTGGATTAAAGGTTCTTTATATCCAGAGTTATAGTAGTATAGTATTCATTAGTTTTTTTTTAACTATCGTTATTATCCTTAACTATCGTTATTAGCCTTAACTATCGTTATTAGCCTTAACTATCGTTATTAGCCTTAACTATCGTTATTAGCCTGAACTACTTTTAAATTATCATCAACAACAGCATTAACCTATACAATGTTATGATCGAATTAGTACCAATAATGATAAATTTATCAAGGATATATGGTTAAACAATATCAACACTAACATGTTTACAGAAAAAAAAAAAAGTGAGATATTATTAATAAATAATACTTACGATATTTGAAGATGAATCCGTTGCATTAACCAATTGACAGGTACGAGAAGCTTGGTTTTGCCAAAATTTTTCAATAAGAGCAGTGGCATTTCGAAGGTTTCGTACAGGTTGCCAATCTGGTAACAAATTAGTATCTTATAATAGGGATAAAATATATATCCTTAGTCAAAAAAAATAAAGGGTTTAAAAAAACCGTAATTATTGTAATAGTTATTTGAAGATTTTTAAGGTAAACCTTTATAAGCTAATAATGCGTATTCTTCATCCTCATTACTTCTAATGGCTAAAATATCAGCTACCATAACTTTTCTGAAACCAATATCTTCTCGTTTTTTATTGCAATGTAATGAATCATTGATATCGCTCCGTAAAGAACGACTTTTGTTCGAAGTATTATTTTTATATTGAGTATGTTCTCTTTTAGAACTAATTCTTGAAGACTTTTTACTCCTATTTGATTTTATATCATCACTAATATATATAAAGGTATATGGATAAATAGTTAGATAGATATAAACAATATAACCTTTATATATGATATAGTTTAAACTATAAGATAGAAAGTTTTATTTATACTTTTTTATTTATAATATACAACTTACTTTCGTTTATCATTTCCTTGCGTTTGTTTTCGAGTTAAAAGTCTTGTAGCATAAGTCATTATAATAAGGGGTATGAAATTTTTGAGTAAACGAGATTGTTGCTTCCGTAAACCTTTTTATAAGCACATAGATACGCGTTCACGTGTACCCCTTCCTCAAAGTGGCTGATTGTATTACGTTAAGGCCGGTATTTGACTGGTTAAATTATATTTATCCAAAAAAAAAAATTTTTTTAAACCGCGAGTATTTTTCTCTATTTTTAGATGAACATTAACGTTAACGATAACATTAACGATAACATTAACGATAACATTAAGAGTAAAAAAGATTATATATATATATATATATATATATATACATTACTTATAATTCTTTTTAATTCCAAATTTATCACAAAAGTTTTAATAACAAAATGAGGTTTCATATTCTTGGTTCAGGTCATCTTGGTAACATGATAGCACATTATCTTCGAAAACATAATCATCAAGTTACCTTATTATTTCGTACACCTACAGCACAAACACATTTTGACAATCGGAAACGAAAAATAACGGTTATGAGAGATAATGAAAGAGATATCGAACAAAGTTATGGATATGGTATAGAAATTTTACGTGGATATGAGAAAGAAGAATTAATGGATCAATATTTTCATTATGAATCTTATTCATCAAATTCACAAATTCAACGATTAATAGTTACAACAAAAGCACATGAAGTTACTAAATCATTTCAAAGAATTTTTCATCGCCTTCCACCAACTAGTACAGTAATTATAATATCGCGTTGTATGGGAATTTATGAAGAATTAATGGAAAAATTTTTCTCAAATAATGAGATATTAAGACCGAATATTTTACTTGGAACATCTACGCATTTATGTTATGGAATGAAGAATTTAAACAGTCCATTTGACATCTTTCATAACGGAGTTGGAGGAATTGATATTGGAGTCATACCTAGACATGAGTGTGTCATATCTAGACAATCTAAACAATCTAAACAATCTAGACATGAGCGTAGACATGAGAGTAGACATGAGAGTAGACATGATGTGAGGAAAAATTCAAGAATAGCAACATTGTCAGCAGAAGACGAATTATCAACAACAATATCTCCGAAGAGATTTGAAGAAAAAAAACCAAGAGAAGAAAATTCAGGAAATTCGTTAAGTGCAACAATAAAAGCTTTAACGCAAATTAAAGAATTACAAGTGAGATGCATTAATGTACTAAGTTTACAAAATCGACTTTTGGAGAATTTAGCAATTAATGCGTGTATTAATCCACTTACGACAATTTATAATATGCGTAACCGAGGACTTTTATTTAATCCAGGAGCAGATCGAGTTTTACAAGCTTTATGTAAAGAATCAGCACAAGTGATGCGAGAACATCGAAACTATTTAGGTATGAGACCATCGAATAGATTTGGACCTGGAAGATTAGTTGATGCGATACAGCAAATTTGTCAAGAGACAGAATCACGAAAATCAGACATGTTAAAAGATGCTAAAAATCGGTATATAATGGAAATTGATTATTTAAATGGATATATTGTGAAATTGGGTAAGATTTACGGTATACCCACGCCATTACATCAATTAGTAATTGATATGATATATTTAAAACATAAACTATTGTCTGGTTCGCAGAACCAACTAAAAGAAAGATATACAAATTTATAAAAAAAAAAGATATACAAATTTATATAAAAAAAAAAAAGACAATTAGTATAATAGGTATAATAGACATGAAATAATATGTAGTAAAATTAACTATAATGATAGTAATGATACTCGCATTCGCAGTTGCTATTTGCAGCTATTTGCAACATTCTTGGTTGTTGTTTGCAGCATTATCAGTTGCTATTTGAAGCAATTCTTAGTTGCTATTTGCAGCATTCTCAGTTGCATTCTCATTACTATTTGAAGTATTCTCCGTTCATTCCCAGTTACTATTTGCAGCATTCTCAGTTGCATTCTCAGTTGCTATTTGCAGCATTCTCAGTTGCATTCTCAGTTGCTATTTGCAGCATTCTCGTACGTACAGTACCCGGTACGTATGGTTCAACGCCATAAGACCTCGTGACAATATAGTAAATATTAACTTAACGATAACGATAACATAACGATAACGTTAACACAATTTTTTTAAGTTTTATTAGTACACATCTCAAAATACCGTTACAGTAGCATAAACTTTTTTTATTATTACTATGACGTATTATATATATCCAAGGAACTAAATCGTGGGCTACTATAAGCAGTTAAATGGCACCATATATGTACTTGTATTGGTAAATATGAACGTGAATTCCAAAAAGATAACAATAATCCTGTTTATGCAGATACTATATACAAATTTGTTTAATCAACCGGACGATCTAACATCGGTTTTGTCAAATAATATTTTTTTTAAATTTTATTTGTGTGGAGTTAAAAAAAAACCAGATGATTTGTAAATATTGAAAATGATTGTAAACGGACCATCTTCATTGTTCCCCCAAATGTTAAATTACAGGTGAAAACTTTATTTAGTAACTGATAAATATTGTGGGGCTCAGCGATAATTTACATTGGTCGATATAATTGATATACGTATATAGTTAACAAAAAATCGATATGTATTCCAAGACAATGGCAATAGATAATCTATAATCTATAAATAGACCAAAATTTTTTATGCAAATAAAAATTGTTGTAATCACTACGTAACATGTATTCAATGTGTTCAATGTATTCATGTTAACAAATCAGGAAATTCTGTAAAGCATTATCATTAAGTACGTACGTACGTATATCGATATGTAACTATATAATTAGAGTCATTCAGGTTGAATTTCTTTTTGACGAGTCCCTTTTGAAGACCTAGATTATAATAGTGATTGGTTATTATAATCTACGTATTATAGAATTTTAGAATTTAAGTTATATATAATATAAAAATCAAATTCTGTAAAATTTTTAATCAGCACCGAGCCCATGTAATAATACGTACGTACGTACGTACCCAATTGATCGGTAAAAACATTTATAATCAATTCTGCAATTAATAACAATGATAATGCAAGGCAAACACCAGTGGTTTATAGTTTTATCATGTGTAGAATTTTGAAGAACCTTCATAAACAAATTCCGTCCTGCAAAGCATTGTATGCAAGATATCCATGTTCGGAAATTTATGAATTGATTAAATTTAACCTTGATCAACCTTGATCAACTTTGATCAACTTTATTGCGGCTGAAGCTAGAATCAACCTTGACGCCGCGGCTAAAGCTAGAAATTTAGTATGAAATTTTTAAAAAGGTTCATATATTTTCAGTTTTTTTAGTTAGGTTAAAAATTTGGTTAAGAGTTTATAGTAAAAGAGTATAAGTGGATTTTTGTAAGCTTATATTTTTCAATATATACTCTCGAATTCTAGCTTCATTCTAGCTTCAGCCCGTTTCCAACTTCAGCCATTTCTAACTTCAGCCGTTGTTTCAGCCGCAACGATTAATAAAACTTAGATTTTGACTGGTTATCACATAATTTCCTATATAGTTAACAATATCGAATTGATCCTATTGTTATGTTAAATGTCTTGATTAAAAAAATTTCGCGATATTAAAAAAAATACTAGCAAAAGAAGAAAAAAAGATTTGCAGCCGAAGGCGCATCCACTCAAGATTAAACATGTCATCCTTGTGGAGGAATCTCTGTATCGTTCTAATCGTTCCAATTTTAATAAGTGTCGCTCCAACTTTAATAAGTGTCGCTCCAACTTTAATAAGTGTCGCTCCAACTTTAATAAGTGTCGCTCCAACTTTAATAAGTGTCG